CTTTTCTAATGTAGTTCAGTAGCGTGTATAAATTTGTTTGAGGTGGTTTGTCGTCATTGGTCCTTCGGTTTGGTAATAGTTCCATAGCTACCTGTTGCCTTCAACCCAGCATGTTGTGACATAGTCTGTAAACGGAGTGTTATTTGCTGTTGAGTCCGAAATTTCCAGGTTTTAAGTGGATGGAACCAGACGTCTTTTATTTCTGCATGTGGTACCAGTGAAAGAACTGCTTCCCTGCGTATAAGTTGATGGAAGTCTGGTTCCTCTTTATAGTTGGTGACGAGTCCTGTTGACTGCACTTTATAGTGATTCTTGGAAGGGCTGATCTGGCAGAATTCTGGACAGCAGCTTCGTTATCAATAAAGAAAGTTGTTGGGTTCAGGTGAATCTGACGTTGGGTGTAAGCAGTCTTCAGTAGTGTATAGGGAATGTTGTGTTAATGTCCTCTGACTTCCATTGTAAAATTGCAAAGACTAGTGGCAACATCTCTCCATCAACAAGTGCGTGTAGAGAGTAGAGTGTAAATGAGTTTATACTTTTTTTTAAATTGCATGCATTATTTCTTAATGTATTCAAAAACTTTAGAGAAAATGTAATGAAATACAGCATTGACATCTGTTTTTTAAATTAACGTAACATTGTAGAATATATTTGATAAATCAAAAGTATTGTATTATTTAATGACGTGTTTAATCAAAAGTGCATTAGTCTAATGATTTAGAAAAAAAATAATATTTTTTACTTTTTATTAAATTAATATTAAATAATAGTTTGAACATGCAATAATTAATTCTTGTTTATTTAGCAAAACAAACAAAAAAACCTTATCAGTGACGCTTGAATAAAAAAAGTGAAAAAACCCAAATATGTATAGTACGAAGACAACGAGCGTTGAGTACCAAAAATTCCGAAAGGTTATGTCAAATACAGCAAAGATAATCTTCCTAGGGTAGAACATCCTTAGAATTTTGAAAAAAATGAACTGATAATTTATGTCAACATAAAAGTGTTTACTACTGGGCTGGTGATACAGTCAGAGAGAAAACCTCCACCAGCAGTGGCATCGACCCAGTGGTTGTAAATTAACTCATCATAGATACATGTCTTAAAATTTTTACGCCAGACGCACGCGTTTTAGTCTGTCAGATGAACTCATTCTATACCCAAACACAGTCGGTCAGAATATTTGGGATGTGAAATCTGGCCTTGCGGTCATAAAACTTTCGAGCACGATAATTGTACTCAGACTCAGAAATCAACCAATCAAAATACTGGATTTGGTGTTTCGAGCACAAATTTTGTACTCCGAGTACTGAGTTAAGTTTTATAACCGAGGGCCCAGATGCCTTATTAAGGGAGTCTTGCACACTTTCTACATATACATTGAAGATTGACTAGATCAAAGGACTTCTCCGATTCTACAAAAGACCCATACTAAATAGGGATGTCTGTTCCATAGGTACTTGGGGATAGGACAATTTTTTTTAGCCCCCCCCCCCCCCCCCCCCATTTTTTTTTCAAAATCCGTATTTTTTTTTGTTTTCTATTAATTTCAATTATTTTCGTGTTTTTTTTTTGTATTATACGAACATTAATATACTACAAATAACTTGTATTTTCTATTTACTATCAATTCCAAGTTTACTATCCACAGTGGTCACTGATATATTACTAGTATCTGGGACTATTATGTCCCAGATTATATAGAGAGAAGTTCTCTATATATAATATATCAGCGACCACTGTGGATAGTAAACTTTGAATTGATAGAAATTTCTGCTTAGGTTAGTTTGATAGGAACTATTTGTGATAGATCATTGATAGTTAAGATAAAGTTGCATTACTATCAGTACATATCAGTGTGACTACTATTTCGAGGCTATGCCCCCTAGGACATGTTCCAGTGACTTTGAATTAATTAATCATTTTCAATGTTAAGTTTTCTGCTTAAATCAGTTTGATAAGAACTACTTGTGATAGATCAATGATATTTTGTATAAAGTTGCATTACTATCAGTACATATCAGTTTGACGATATTATTTTCAGGCCATACCTACTAGATAATGGTCCAGCGGCTGACTTAATAAATCATGCTGCTGTCCATCAAATTGTTTTTTTCTGAATTTTATTCCGACAGGCGAGTTATATCTCTGTGTCAACAGTTTATTGTTAATTATCATTAATAATAAATTATATATATATACTTATATATCAACTTTCGTTGAAATCCTAAAACAAAAAGATGTTTCTCAAAATTTGTGATTGTTTTTTTAACATAAATAAGTTTTTACTGCACATTTGACCCTGGGATTCAATTCTGATATGGTCATAATCATAAATCAATCAAATGTTTATAAACTTTAAAATTTTCGAAATACTAAGGATTTTCTACCCCAGGAATAGAATGATCACCTCAACATATAAGCTGTATTTGAAAAAAAAAAACAAAACTTTAGGACTTAAGGGTTCTCAATGCTTTCCAACTTCGTACTTTATTTTAGTGATAACTGTATTGTATTTGAAGCTTTGCAGACGTCCATCGGTAGTTTTACTGTCGCAAATTTAGTTTACCTGGCGAAATGATGTCATCTTCTTTGGCGCCTAAACTAGGTGACGTCATAGGCATGATTCCGGCATCAAACGTGAACACCGGACGTTTTCTGGCTTCTTGTCCGCTTCAGAATGTAATAAAACTTGATAAAAAGAAGATTTCTAGGTGCAAAATGTGAGTTTTTTGGCTTATTATTGAAGAAATCACATGTCAATACAATCCGGTATTCAAAATATCGGCTTCCTTAGTTACAGACAGGGAGATAGAGGATTTTACGCTTATTGTCATCCAATCAGAACCATTGATACAAAATAATTGCATAAGAATTCGCTTTTTTAACGTCACTGATGAGTCTTTTGTAGACGAAACGCGCGTCTGGCGTACAAAATTTTAATCCTGGTACTGCAGTATCTACAATCAGTTTATTACGAATAGCGTATAATTATACCTATATTTCAATTTTCGTTGAAATCCCTTTATGATTTTTTTTTGTCAGGAAATATCATAGCAGATACAGGGTGCCAATCTGATGACATCGACGTTAACTATTTTAATAAAGCTTTTCTTTTCATACTAAGAAGACTTGGATTCTTATATTTGATATAGATGCCTTATTCTTCTAAAGTTTTCGACTGTCATATGTTCATTGTCCTTTGTCTCAATGTGTAAAGACGACAGAGTTCATCTGACCTTGACCTCATTTTTATGTTAAAGTTGTTTCTAGGAAACTATAATCAAAACGTCAAATATAGCTTGTGTTTGGAATTGTGTATTGTGCACATGGCTATAAGATGTGCATACCCGTCTCGCAGAGTTCATCTTACCTTGACCTCAGTTTTATGGTTCATTAGTCAACGTTAAGTTTTCGTGTTAGTCAGTTTCTGTTTTATGTTTTATAAGTAATGGGTTTATTGTGTTTGGTGTATGCAATGATTGTTAGGTACTTATGTCCGTCTGGCAGGGTTCATTTAACCATGACTTTATTTTCCTGGGTCATTTGTCAAAGTTAGGTTTTCGTTGTCGAAGTCCTTTGTTAGAAACTATAAGAAAGAAGTCGACGTTACTTGGGATAACGAATAGTTGTAAAGTGTACATGTCCGTCTGTCATTTACATGGATGATTGATAACGATAATGTTAAGCTTTGTGATTCGACCAACTGTGTCAATCAGTTGTAGAAGAATACATACACAACTTTCTCAAAGACAAAAAAATAAAGGAATCTTCAATAGTAATTCTTTCATTTTACTATCAGATATATTGATGATTTCCTGTCACTCATATTTCTCCCCTATCACTGTGAGTGCTTGCATCTCATATCACAGTGCACTTGATATTAAGGATACAACCGAAACTAGACGGTCTGCTGCATATTTTGACCTTTTCCTCAATATTGACACAGATGGAAGACTTCAAACTATAGACTCTATGACAAACGCGATGATTTCAACTTTCCAAATTGCCCTTTCTCAGCAGTAACATACCCTCTACAAAATCGTATGGCATTAAAACATCTCCACTGATACGTTAAGCTCGTGTACGTTCACATTGAACGGACTTCATTGGCACGGGTGTGCTCAGTACATAAAAACTGCTCCAAAAGAGTTATGAGGAAGACACAATATAAGCTGTACGATCACCATCACGGAATAGTTTACCGGTACGACATGTCTATGTCTCAGCATGCTACATGTTTTCGCAGTCTTAGATCTTCAGATTTTAGAATAGTCGTCTTATCTGTAATTTTACCAATTTTCTTCTATTCCCGACTGTGTCATTTTGATTGAGTGTGAATTTGTATGGCGGGTGCATTGCATGAGAAGCTTACCCTATCGACGCACCGAGTCTGGCACCTTTGGAGTTCATGCGAATTACTGTTTTAGTTTGTTTGTTTCCTCGATGTGTCTTCTTAATCTTTTTTTTTTCATCGGTGGATTACCCTTTAAAGCAAATGATTTTCGTTCATCTGTACCGAAACACTTAAATTCATCATTTAATACCACACATACACGTACGTAAGGGAACTGAAACGAAACAGGTTTATTGACTGGAACAAAACATACATCCGCAATAGTTGGGTGATGCTGCATTACTTATTCAATGATGGAAGATATATAAGCACAGTAACAACAACTGATGTCGGAATATCTGCCGTGTACAACAAACTCGTCGTTGTCATTCAGGATTGTGATGTCATCTGGTTTATTCAACCAGTGGTGTCAATCAGATTTGGATTCTTAAAAATTCTAAAGATCTACTCCAAAATCTGCCTCTTGCTTTAAAATTCAGTTCTCAATAACTATTTAGATCTGAGCCTCACTGATGAGTCTTAGGAAGACGAAACGCCCGTCTGGCGTATTAAATTATAATCCTGATAACTATTAGTAACCTTCTAATGGAGCGAGACAATTTTGTCAAGAAATAGACAGAATAATATCACATTCACATACAATTTCTTTCGGTTTATTTAAAATTCTTTGTATTAAGCACCCAGTTTCATTTTTTCTTCTGATTAAGATCTGATTACAATTACTCTGTTGGCATACAGTTCGTATGAAAACTACTTGTATATTGTCATTTTCTTTACAGAATGGTTTTGGTATTAAATAATTGAACTAAATTTTTAATCTTTGCACAGCTGTTGCAAGGATTTCCTTTCGCTTTGGTTTACCAGAAACAGTTTTTGGAAATTTCTCAAAAATAACATACATTTGTGTCTTTATTACCACTGTCACCAGGTTAGTTACATCTTTCAGTGCAAATGCTTCTAGCTCATCTACTGTCAGCGTAATGCCTTCTTTTGGAACAACACATACACACGGTTTTTGAAATGATTCCGGGTCACTTATTCGAACAACACACACTTCGGCAATACCCGGATGTTTCATCATAACAGCTTCTATATTCGCCGGCTTTATATGCGCCCCATAACATAGAATAATGTCGGAACATCTACCGTGTACAACATATTCGCCGTTATCATTAATAAAAGCTACATCATCAGTTCTATACCACCCGTCTGCATCAATAGATTTTTCTGTTTCCTGTAGATTTCCAAAGTAGCCGCTAAAACTCTTCTTATTGCGAACAAATAGTTCTCCATCTTCGTTTTTCTGTGCAGTTTCTCCATATTGATTTACGACTTTCATTTCAATCCAAGGTAAAGGCTTGCCTACACAGTAATCTGAAAATTCTGATTGACTTTTTACGCGCTTAAAGGATACGAAATTCATCTCTGACGAACCGTAATGGGAAACGAACTCATCACAAAATCTACCTAGTACTTCAGCACAGTTCGCCGGAACAGGAAGACCACTGGTATCGATAACTCTTAATCGATATGTAGGGTTCTCTCGTTTTAACAGTGCAAAGATGAACGATGGCAACATTCTTGAAACTGTACATTTTTCACTCTCCATAACTAGCCACATAAAATCATATATATCCGAAAAACTTCCAATCGTAAATAGGTCTGCTAAGGTGACATGGGTAGACCCACTAACTAGAAATACAACGGGATAGCCACCTATCCAGTCAAAGAGTCTGTCACTGAAGAACACATCATCTGCAGACATTTCACATGCAAAAACAGCTCCTTCTCCATGATCAAGAAGCTGAATGTGAGTCTTCGGTACAAGTTTTGGTAAACCAGATGATCCAGACGTTGTGAAATATATAATAACCTCGTCCGGATTAGTTTCGGGAAGACATGAGTCAAATTCCGAACCCAACTTCATAACACTTGTAAAATTAATGCATTGGACAAGTTCATTCTCTAATCCCTCGCAAATAACACATTTCAGATCAGACAGGCCTGTTTTCTCCTTGCCATTTATTGAGTTTATCAGCCCTTCAATAAACTTATTATTGATCTTCTCATCGTTAGAACCCAGAATGATTGCTGTACAATTTCCAAGAATATGAAGAATGGGTAAAACTTCCTTTCCGTTCTCGGATTGAAATTTGAAGTGAAAAGGAATAGCACCCATAACTTGACATCCAAAAGTTGCAATAAGCCACTCTCTGCTGTTAAAAAAGGATATTCCAACTGTGTCACCTTTACGTAAGCCTTTCTGGAAAAGACCTGCGGCAAATAAAACGCTCTGTTCATAAATCTCCTGACATGACATAACATCTCTTGTGCCCTTTGCAGAACGTATGATAAACGCAGGTTTGTCTGACCTTATGGATGCATGATGTCTTAGACGTCCTCCAATAGTCCATTGCGATCTTTCCATTGTACCAACCTTTTGCATCATTAGTTATTTTCCCGTTTGAAGATTGAATGAACTTGTCCTAAATATTACACTCACACCATGTGTATCAGTATGGCATTATGTATTGTATTCATCTAACCAGATGAAAGGTAAATGTTGTGTTTATGTATATGTCAGTGAGTTGTGATAACTTATTTGTAACGGTTTACTTCTTTCTCTGTGATATTATTTGCGGCGGACAATTTGTCACAGTAAATAGTTTCCAGACATGGTATTTCACAGGTAGATTTTTTCCGGAGGAGTAAAATTCTTTCCATCTTATATGGAAATTACTTACCAGTAAATCCTTTCCGGTCCATATTTCACAGAACCTTGTGAAATACAATCCTATTGTCTACTATATAACTAACTGGTGGTTTTTTAACGACCTTAACTGGCTGGTAAGCCCTCGCACGATAGGATCGGTGCCCATCGGCGTTTGGTGAGCATTGAATATTTTGTTGTTGTCGTAAAGTTGGAAAGGACGACCGCCATTTTTGTTTTGCGTATGCTGATTTGTTTTGTTGACTATTTTGGTTTTGAAGTTCTTCTCCACAACGGCTGTTCTCAGGGCCAGGTAGGTCAGCTGTGCAACCAGCTAACGACGATGATGAAGTTTTGGTCGATGAGTCAGTATAAAGGCGGTCCATTATCCAACACCACGAATACAGGTCTTCGGACGCCAGTTGGCATAACAAAACTCCCTCATCCATAATGGGTTTTGGAGTGTATGCTGACGCGGGCGTTTACACCAAGCTAAATGTAGACTTTACAGCATTGAATTGGTTTCTGTCATCGAAAGTAGTACGTCGTTGAGCCAACCATCAGCAAACTATAAAGGCAACAGTAGTATACCGCTGTTCGAAACTCATAAATCGATAGAGATAAAAACACATCCGGGTTACAAACTAAAACTGAGGGAAACGCATCAAATATAACAGGAGAACAACGACACAACAAAAACACAACATTAAAATGTAACACACACAGAAACGAACTATAATATAACAATGGCCATTTTCCTGACTTGATACAGACTAAAGTTCTTTCACGTCTCAGTCATTCCAGCTGAACGGAGGTGCTTGGTCAGCTCCTCTTTATCCGTTTTCTACGATGCTGGTCTACTATATAAGGTACTCACAATCTATATACACCTGACTATAATGATAAATGTGTCACCAAGGTAGAACATATTTATTATAATTTATCACCAAAGGGAGGTAATTATGAGAAATTTTCATTTTATCATACTAGTATTCCGGAATAAATTTCATAGTGAAATTGTTTCCTTATTTCTCATTTTAAATATAAAATGATGACTTTAATTAAAAATCAATAAGACAGAAAATATTTCACAGGTGAATACTATCCAGTTGTTTAAATTGTCTCCCTATGCAGACTGATCTTCCTTTAGGCTATTGGTGATGGTAGACGTATCTTTTGGTGCTGGGAATTTCATGATTTCAATGTTGTATAGTGTGCAATTTAACATATAAAAAGAACAATACAGTATATTTGATGAACAATTACAAAACAGACCAACATTTACCCATTTTTTTCCAATTTAGAAACATTTAAGAAAGATTTTCACACAACTGAATTTGACTTTCTCGGGCCTGTGCACTTCCGGTCCGCGAATATTCAAAACAAAACTTTGATGACTTTAATTAAAAATTAATAAGACAGAAAATATATTCAAAACAAACTTTGATTTCACCATACTATAAACAGAAACAATATATAGATCAATCCATCATACATTTTAATTCAAAGAAAGCTGATCAAATTCCTGCAAAGGAGCAGGCTTGCCCGTTCTGGGTCACAAAAATTGAAACCTATAATATTAACAGATAGCAAAGGGTACAATTTAGAATCCAAAGTATCCACAACAACAGAACATAATATAACTTGGTATTGTAGCAAGGGTGACAAAATAAAACAGTGCCGTGAGTGGCTGGAGATCTCTATAGACTCCCTTATAGAAGAGGAAGGTAATATATGGGTATAAATATATGGGCCAGTCACTATTAAGAACGGCAGATACATTTCCCTGAGGACACACGACGACTGTATCATAGATGAAATCATTACAGAAGCAGAATTAATCATTCAATGTATTAATGCTCACCAAGGGTGCAAAGTAACCATTTTGGAAATCCCATTATACTCAATTGTATCCTGGAACGGGGCAACGGGAAAAGGAAAAGACGACTTACAAAGATTTTATCAGGAAGACAAAGATTTAGAAAAACAAATAGTTAAAGTTAACCGCAAAATTATGGAGCTTAACACCAATAACAACTCTTCCTCTCCTAAACATAGCTCATAATTAATTAACTCTCATTGAAAAATAAAGAAAAGGTAATACCGTAATAGCTATCAAGTGACAAGACGGGTACTGCATATGTTTGAACTTTACTTTGATGGTATTCACCCACGACGACTGCTTTCAAGTCTCTGCTTAAAAAAGATCGAACAGCAAATTATCAAAGACTGCTGGGATACTTCCAACTGAAGCTCTTAAGTACATTACCATACAGTAAGCATGGGTTTCACCACACTACACTGCAAAATATATAATGTACAACTACCACTGATGATGCTGTTTTAACTACCGTAAGCGTGGGTTTACTCCAAACTATACTGGACCAAAAATCAACTTAACATCTGTAACAATTTTTGAAATGATATAAAAGCTTATATATATGTATATGTACATAGTTTGTTAATTACTATCTAGCGATTGCTCTATTGATATTATCTTGTAAATATATAGATATCATGTGAAACAAATCACCTGATACATCATTAATACAGTAAGCGTAGGTTTCAATACACTAAACTGTAATCATTAAAGCTGATACCCTTAATACAGTAAGCGTAGGTAACGCCACACTAAACTCACTTAGATTTTAGATTTTTAATTTTAAGCTGGAAAAGGAGACTCTCCAAAGTAATAGGGCATACTGCATATTCATATCTACATAGTTTTTAAGTACTATCTGGCGAATGTTCAATATATATTGTCTTGTAAATATTATGGATTACATCTGGAGCACATCACCTTAAGCTTCATTAATGCAGTAAGCATAGGTTTCACTGCACTAAACTGCAACACGCCAAAACTCATACCTCAATTACAGTAAGCGTGGCTAACGCCACGCTAAACTCACTTAGATTTTAAATTTTGATCTGAAAGAGTCTTTCCAAAAACAAGAAGGCATACTGTATATGTAGATATATACATCCTCACGACAAAATGACCTTAGTAACAAAATACTTTGAAAAAATAATGGTGGATCCAGACTCTACTCAAGATAACAATCGTGTTGGTGAAATACAAAATCAAATTAAAACTAAAACATATTCACTAAATATTGATAAAGTACGGCAAAACAAGCTTGATTTTTATGTTGAATCGGCAAAAAGGACCCATATATGTTACAAAAAGACTGGTGGTGGTATCACCGTCACACTCGTTTTAGCAACATTTGAATTATTTGTTGCTGCTTTATCAAGTTATCATCAAAATAATCCACTTTCTGCAGGAAAAATCACATTCCAATCTGAACATGATAGAAGAGGTGCATTTGCATGTCCAAAACATTTAAAGTTCAGCTGAAGAACGGCAAATCCTATTCCATAAATTCTTACACAACAAAAGCTTCTTTATTAATGAATAAAAAATCTGTATATATAAAGATAAGAAGATGTGGTATAATTGCCAGCGAGACAACTCTCCACAAAAGACCAAATGACACAGAAATTAACAACTATAGGTCACCGTACGGCCTTTAACAATGAGCTAAACCAATACCGCATAGTCAGCTATAAAAGGCCCCGAAATGACAAATGTAAAACAATTCAAACGAGAAAACTAACGGCCTAATTTATGTACAAAATAATGAACGAAAAACAAATATGATACACAGAAACAAACCATAACCACTGAATTATAGGCTCCTAACTTTGGACAGGCAAAGTGGCGGATTAAACATGTTAGCGGGCGCCCAACCCTCCCCCTTATCCAAGGACAGTGGTGCAACAGAACAATATAAGAACTGTAAAAAACAATAAACAAACAACGCATATGATCAACAGCAATAAACAACAACCACTCAAATACAGGCTCCTGACTTGGGACAGGCACATATAGAATATGGCGGGGATTAACCTACTTTATTGTAAATGAATGACCCACAATTCACCATATGATTTACAATACCTATGTGAACAACCAATTAATGAATACAAGTACGATAAATAAATTACTAGAAGAACAACTGCAATACGTGGTAGATAACAGATCTACAAATAACAACATGACAGCCATATGTAGATAGTGCAATAGAAATGTAGTCACTAGAGCCATCAATTGTAACAACTGTCAGGTGTGGGTTCACTACAGATTTGAAGTTCTTGCGCAGCCTGATATTAGCAATATCGAAAACAATAACAATAGCTCATACACATGCTCCTCTTAAAAAAGACTACTGACACTTCTATTTAGATTGTTAGCTTATTGAGTCCATCTATTCAAAGCAGTAAATGTAACATCGTGTCTATTAATATAACACAAAAAGCGTTTATAAGTCCGCCTAATACGCAATTGGTGACCAATGAAGAAATTCTTCTGAATGAAGAAAGAATTAAACAAATATGCTCCAACTGTGACAGTGAGATTCAATATTCAGATGAAACTGTTTGTGATAGCTGTAATAATACAGTACACTTGACATGCATAGTTAAACACTGCCCGATGCAAAAATGTCAAGTGTGCTATGGGTTAGAAGTAATAGATGAGCAGGTTAAAAATAAACTCTAACTACGAAGCAAACAACAACCACTCAAATACAGGCTCCTGACTTGGGACAGGCACATATAGAATATGGCGGGGATTAACCTACTTTATTGTAAATGAATGACCCACAATTCACCATATGATTTACAATACCTATGTGAACAACCAATTAATGAATACAAGTACGATAAATAAATTACTAGAAGAACAACTGCAATACGTGGTAGATAACAGATCTACAAATAACAACATGACAGCCATATGTAGATAGTGCAATAGAAATTTAGTCACTAGAGCCATTAATTGTAACAACTGTCAGCTGTGTGTGGGTTCACTACAGATTTGAAGTTCTTGCGCAGCCTGATATTAGCAATATCGAAAACAATAACAATAGCTCATACACATTCCCCTCTTAAAAAAGACTACTGACACTTCTATTTAGATTGTTAGCTTATTGAGTCCATCTATTCAAAGCAGTAAATGTAACATCGTGTCTATTAATACAACACAAAAAGCGTTT